TTCAATGACGTTCCAAAAAAAGTTTCGTGAAGAAAAAACGTTCCTGTAGTGTTTTATTTAGCATTTTGTAAATCCCATTGAGTTCTGTTGGAATAGTCAATATCCCTCCGCCACCGGAAACGGAAATGGGGCCTGTTTACACTTAGTTGTAGTCTTTTCGCAAGGCCCAAGTGTTTCTGCTTCACTCTGTGTACTCCGACGTCGAGGTGCTAACGTCTCTGTTAAACACTTTAAAAAACTCTGAAAATGGAATACGAAAGGTGGATTCTTGAGGAGGACATATTCATATACATTCCCAAAGTATAGAGACATTGTCGCCAACTAGTGGTCTGGAGTGTGCAACGCTTCAGATTCGAACGGGAAGCGGAAGTTTATAAGCGGTTGTGATGTATCGGAAAAAATAGTTCTGGGATTTACAAAATGCTAAATAAAACAAGACAGGAACGGTTTTTCTTCACGAAACTTTTTTTGGAACGTCATTGAACAGCGCTGACGACCCGGTGAGTAGCATATTTAAAAAAAAGAACGTTTAAGGTTGTTTTAAGGACATTATCGGACATGCACAATGGAAGCCATTCTGAAGCAGCCAGGGGGGGATTCTGCATGAGCCAAAAAGCAGAGACAGGACCAATTGTCAAAAATTTTGGTGTCGATCATTCGATTTCATCCTGGACACTACAGAAAATGGGCTAAAAGTGTTAAAAACCGGAATTCTCCTTTAATGCACCATAAGTTGTTTGCCATGTAGCAGAAACAAACTAAGAAAAAACACGAAGAAGGAGAAAATAGCAGCAGCCCAAAGACACACAGAGACTGGAGGAGCAGAATAAAAGAGAATGAGACTGTAGATCGAAAATGCTGTTATTTTATTTGAGACAACACTATGAGTTAGAAATTATTTTCATGATTACGTTTTTCAATCTAGAGCGGGATTAGCTGCAGATTTGCATATGCACATTTAATTTGCCAGTTGGATCCACAATGGAAAGGTTTACTCAGGTAGCTTAGTCCTTTTCTGTGCTTCAACACACCTGATCCAGGTGAATGCAGTTCAGCAAAGCCTGTTCATCTACTATCAGGGACGTGTGTGAAAGCTGAGAAACATGTAGAACATGCAGAGCAGCATGGTGTGAGGAACAGGCTTGAAAAACAAACCGTTGAAGAGCCCAGCACCTGTCTTAGTTTTCTTTTTACTCATACAGACTTAAAGTAGATGTTTTTTTTGCAAGACTCTCCAACAACATTTTTTGTTACCCTCACTTCTTTTCAGATGCTTTGAAGATACACAATCTATTATACATGGATGGATACGCTATTCAGCATGTAGCTGCACGCATAAGATGGAAGCTTTGTGCCATAATAAAAGGCCAGGAGAGGAGTGTGCAGCTACTGTCAGGATGTTTGACCCAATCACGTGGAAAGTTGAAGGAATCTGCTAATAGCTGCCTCATATATCTCCATATTGGACTAAAGTTCTTATAACTATGAAACCCACAGCTGAGGTCAACATCTGAGAAGATTGCTAAATCTTTAAGCAATGTTCTTGTTTGCAGCAGCCTGGATTAAGACAAGGGCATTGCTGGCAGTGTACTCACCAGCTTCAGAACCAGACATTTTAAAAAGACTTTCTTGGAGTGGTTGCCACCACTGCTTTCCGTAGAATGTATTTAGCCCTGAAACCCCCACCTAATGCCAGGCGTCGAGCTGAGGAGGTGATGATTAGGGCCTGCGTACCACTAATGCCAATCAGGCATGTTAGAGTCAAACATGAGGCCGGATGTCTAATACAGGGATGGAGGGCTCATCGGAGGGATGCTGAGTCACTGAGCACTGTCAGCCAGCTGGCTGAAAGAAGACTGCTCAACTTTTCCCTTGGTTGAAACAGGGAAAATTTGGAAATATTTCAGGTGTTTGTATAATTCTACTTTCATCTCTGTAAAATAAATAAATAAATAAAATAAACAAATAAGGATATGAGATCTAAACAAAGGAAGCTTTGGAAAAAGGGTTCAAAATTAACTGGTTCAAGTTCATTTGGTAAATGAAGCCACAATCCTCCACAACAGAACCTCATATTTCCCCCTTTAAATGTGTAATCATAATATATAGAAAGAAATCCAAAATACTGGATGTGCAGTGAAGCCTTAACTTAGCAAAATTACACAGAACTTCAGGAACATTCAGGTACTGCTAAAAAAGATCTGGATCAAAAATGATTTCTTCCATTCCTCATTCAGTAGCAGATATTTATGGGAGCAATATTGCTGCAATATTATTTGCAAATGTGTGCAGAGAGTTGTGTGTCTGTATCTAGATTTGTGTGTGCAGTGGGATTCGAAAATGTGAGAGGAGAATTGTCTGCAAATGTGTAAAATAACGTGTGTAATTGATTTGCAAATGTGTAAAAAATTCACAAATCTATATTCAGATCTACAAATGTGTGTTAAGATTTGTAATGTGCACCAAGATCTATAAATGTGTAGATCAGTCTGTAAACAGAGTCAAGCAGTTATTCAGTTGGCTCTCTTCACACACCTGATTTTTGTTACATTTCTGCCATGTGAGATCTGCAAATGTATATAGAGGATTCTGCAAATGTATATAGAGGATTCGAATGTGTAAAATCTTGATTTGCTGCCCTGCAAATACCTGCTCACAGGCTTATGGCAACCGTTTCTCATAAAATCAGCTTTTCTTACCATCTTACTTCTTAGATAGCAAGATACTACTACTAAGATAGAAGTCAAAGTTTTGACCTGGAAAAAACTAAATACTGACTATCCTGAATGTTACTTTAAGATCTCTGAAATTATATTATGACAACTGAAAATAACAATTCAGATATCAGTCAATCTTATTTTGCAGAGTCAAAATGCCTTTTGAGATATCTCAAATCGCATTGCCTGATTCATCATTTAAAGTTTCACACATCTGGAATTATAATCAAGATATCTCAATATTATTTTGGACAGGTCCCTGCAGTATTTAGCGCGGCTGCAATGGTGCTGGCTTTTTTTGAAAAATTTGTTTCAAAGTGCCACAATATAGAAAGAACTCCGCAGTATGGGATGTGCAGAGAACAAGAACTTTGTGAACTCCAAGGCCTCTTTTAGAAATATGTAGTGGATTGCTGTGGGGAAGTTTGTTCGAAGCTGGATTATTAAAGCTCCGCTGAGTGTATATAAATATATAAATGTGTATACAAAATGACAATAAAGTTGTCTAAATCTAGTTCTAAATTGTACATTATCTCAGCTTGTTTTCACAACTTTTGTGAGACACTATTTTATAAAGTAGGTATTCATTCATAAAAAAAACTGATTTGAATTCTATAATTTAAAGTTTTCCGGCCAACAGCAATGATGAACTGCATGGCAGAATTCTATACCCAGTTATTGTAGTATCTAAGCAAGAACTGTCAGTCTGGTTATTCTAAATTGTAAATGTTGGCTGTTTTATGAAGTGTAACTTAAAACTGACTAAAACTGAACTAAAACCTTTTTGAGTTTTAGTCGACTACAACTGGACTAAAACTATCACATACAGTAATGACTTAAACTAATAATAGTTCTCGACCTGAAGATGAAAACTAAATCTAAGATGGCTGTCAAAAACAGCGCTGTTGCCAGGTTACAAAACTGATTAAGGATGAGAGGGGAGAACTACTCTAAGTAACCTTAGAGGACTGTTTTAGGTTCTTTTATTGATTGATTGACTTAATTGATCTCACAGTGGAGAAATTATCTCTAAAGGAATGTGTGGAATTTTAAATATGACTTCAATGATTTATCTGATGACCTCATTTAGGTCTGTCAGATTAACCTTAAAGTTAGAGGCTGCGACGATCTTTCTATAATGTTACTGTTGACTTTAAAACCATAAAGCAATATCGACATTACGCGGCATGTGTGTGCTCAATCTTTATTATTTACTTAGAAAATCAGAGGCGTAGCCAGAAAATTTTTATAAAGGTGGCTGGAAAATGAACGGGCAAAGCATCTATATTTTCTAAATAAAGACAAACTATACTTTCCTACAGCTTTTGCTGACAAATACATGCATATATTTTAACATCCATAATTTCTAGATAAAAGGTAAAGTGGATAAAATTCTTTCAGGTTTGAGTTCGGGGCCGAACATCTTTTCCATTGTCATTACTTAGCTACTTTTATCAATAATCATCCTGCATAAAATTTATATTTACAAGTACTAATATCTACATTAATTGATTATTTAATATGCTTTTATTAAAATAGTAATCTATGATTTCACTAAAGACTCCTAGATGAATGCAGAGACACATAATTTTCTCTTTACCCTATAAAACACAAAATCTAGTTCTGAAAAGAGCAGGAATTCTGTACTTACCATCTTTAATGTTAGTATATTGATGTGCATAATTAACCAGAGTGTTTTTGTTATCAAGTAATGATAAATATATGAAAAAAATTATAAGTAATATATGAAAAATTAAAATGTTTTGAATATTCCACTTTATTAGGGGGGGAAATGGTATTGGTGGCCACAGGGGTAACCAATAATTGGCTAAGGGTAACCCCTGGCCTCCCATCTAGCTCCGCCCCTGTAAAATAGAAACCTGTGTGAAAATGTCTTCACACAGATTTTATGAGAATTATAAAACCAGGGAATATTATATAAATAAATAGATGAGAATAGATAAATAGGGGTTAAAACTGCAAAGCAAGTGTCTAAATATCATAGTTTCAACTTAGACCACTAAGTGTTCTATTCTGGCGAAATACCTGGAGCTCAAGAACAGACTGAAGATAAAGGAGGAGCTGATCTGCTCAGCTGGGGAAGCAGTCAAAGGTCGGTGAAAATCTCTGCAATCAACACCCCTTTAAACCTGGCATATCATTCTACGAACGGATGTTCGGACATTAAAACATAAACAAACCTAATAAAAGAAGCATAAAAACTGCTTTGACACAAAAAAGGGAAAAACCTGAAGCCAGGTCCACGAAGTTTGTCAAACTCACCAGAAAACACGAATCCTCCCAGAAAGACAAGGAGCCAAAAACGATCCATGTGTTAAAGCATTTATATTTGGATCCTGCGGTTAAAATCCTTTAGGAATGAATAAAAACAACCTGTCCGAGAAATTCAGTTTCAGAAGGAAAAAGTAAAACCCTGCGCTCTGTGGACACACCTGAGGGGGCGGAGCTTGACCCCCTGTTGCGTAAAATGTTGACTCACCGGATAACCGCCACTCTGCATTCCAGAGTTGAAAATATGTAAAAGATTAACAGAGGTTTTATCTATATACACAGCAGAAATGGTAGCGATTCTTATTAGTTTACAGTGGGTGGAGGAGGATAGACCGGACAAGGTGCTGATTTGCACAGATTCTAAACAGGGGCGTCAGCTGACCCAATACTGTACAGGGGCACAATAGGGTACCAAAGAAAATGCGCACGCAAAAAAAATAAATAAATGAATAAAATTTAAATAAAAAAAAGTCGGTGGAAATCCGTGTGGGCACTGATTGATAAACTGAGCACACAGTTTTCCAATATGTGAGATTTAGAAACTGCTCTCGGTTTACTTACCCGTGCCCGCGGATTGAGAAACTGTTGATAAGATTATATAGGGTTCAAAAATCTGTAATTGTTAAAAATTTATGAAGAAAAAAGCATAAGGGAAGAGATAATTTATACTAGAATAAGAACTGGACATACCTACTTGAATGAGTTTTTGTTTGTACTAGAGAAGAGAAATAATGATATATGCGAGGGTTGTGAAAGAAAAGAAAATGTGGATCATGTTTTGATGGATTGCATTAAATATGCAACTGATAAACTGAAAAATAATTATCGAAAAAGGGAGAAATGGAGTATTAAAGGAATTTTAGGGACAGATGGAGATAGGGAGGTAAATTCAGTTATCAATAAAGCATTGTTTTTATTTTTGCATAACACAAAAATAAAAAATAGAATATTGTAAGTGGAACTACAGAGCTACACACTCATGTACAGGAGGTGGCGTTATGCACCTATAAACTGTTTGCAATCAGCCAATCTAACAAAGATTAGGACAATGGTTTAATGAGAAACTAAAATGGAATAATGGCTAAATTAGACATTATCCAACATCAGGCATTGAGATTATGTAGTGGAGCATTTCAAACCACATCAACAGCAGCAATGCAAGTAGAAATGGGAGAAATGCTGCTGGATTTAAGGAGAGCAAAACTAGAAAAAATAAATTATTGGTTAAATCTACAAGGTAATAACTCTGATTATCCAACTCGGGAAATTTTAAATCCATGTTGGGAACAAGAAAAGCAAGAAATTAGAAGTTTTGGATGAAAAATTGAAAACAAAATAAAAGAATTTGAAATGACCAATTTAGAAATCACTCAGACAACACCAATATCAGTTATACCACCATGAATTCTACCAGAAGCAATAGTAGATATGTCACTAATGGAAAAGAAACATTAATAAATCAATACTATTGTAATACCAAAATTCTATATAAAAATAGGAAAACAAATTTCAGATGGATTATCAGTATATGCAGGGGAAATGTTGGCAATATTATTAGCTTTACAATGGGGAAGATATAAAACCATTAAAAATAGTAATTTGTTCAGATTCAAGCTCTGCATTAATACGTTTAAAATATAATAAGTCAGATAGTAGGATGGACATTCTATTAGAAATATTTAATGCATTATTCAGAATAAAAAAAAATGGGTTTGATAGTATTATTTGTGTGGGTCCAGCAAATATTGGAGTAGAAGGAAATGGAAGGGGTAAAATGGAAAAGAGGGCGATTCAAAATCCTATTAGTTTGGAGGGAAAGAGTATTATTAAAGAAAAATCGATAAAAAAGGGCAAAAGAGGTGGGATGAAGGAAACACAGGAAGGTGGTTTTATAAAATCCAGAAGATAATAGGAAAAAGAAGAAATGAAAAGGAGGAGAGAGTGATAACAAGGTTATGATTTGGCCATACAGGACTCAATTATACACTTTTCAAAATTCAAAAGCATACTACTGGCAAATGTGTTACTGTGGAAAATATGAAAGAATAGAACATGTTATACTGGAATGTTATAAATAAAAAAGCGAGGGAAGATATATGAGGAGAGAGTTTGAATGTATTATGGAAAAGATTAATTTATTAGATATTTTGAGGAAGAATTTGGGGAGTAAACATATACAAATAGTTATTCGATATTTAAAGAAAACTAAATTATTTCATAGAATTTGATTATAGAGAGGGTGAATTTGTGCATGATATAGACAGGTGGAATACAAAGGTTATGTATAAATATGTATATTTGTTGTGTATGCGTATATATATATATATATATATATATATATATATATATATATATATATATATATATATATATATATATATATATATATATATATATATAAATATATATATATATATATATATATAAATATATAAATATATATAAATATATATATATATATATATATATATATATATATATATATATATATATATATATATATATATATATATATATTGTTACGGCCCAAGGCCTTTTCCTATATAAATATATATATATTTTTTTTTTCTTTACCCTTAGAATTTATATATATGTTTATTAGTAGATAGTCCATCACAAACTACACTCCATGCCAGCCAACAAAAACAAGAAGAAGAACCACCACTCTTTCCATGAGACGTTGACTTTGTGCATAACAGTAAACAGTTAAATAAATAGATAAATAAATAAATAAATAAATAAATAAATAAATAAATAAATAAATAAATAAATAAATAAATAAATAAATAAATACTTGATTAGGAAGTTGCAGACTGCTGCCATCTCCTGGTCATTTTGAAATAATACCAGCAGTCAGCGATAACACTGATTGGCCTAACACTACACCAGAGTTTCATTAATTAATAAGGTTTCTTTGGGATAAATGTAGTATTATAAAACTGTTTAATGTCAGTTTTTTTTTCTGATTTACCATCTCCTTGCCTGTAGGATTAAGTCTTTTAACACTCCATTAACAGTCCATTTTCTTTATGGGATGTCCAAATATTAGGACATTGCTCATTAATAACCATCTGCTGTGTTAAACATCTCCAGAATGACACATGTAATACAATTAATAAAGCTTTCACAGATTCAAATATGCTGGTAAATTTTTAGTTCTTACTTTTACTTTTGTTAATACTTCTACATTTTTGCTTTGCACTCTTGAATTTGTGGTATTTGTAAACTTTAAAAATCTGTTTTTTACTTAAAAAAATATGTACCTGCAATATGTACCTGCAATTTTGTAATATATATATTGTAATATTTCGGAATTCTTTATTTTTACTGTAAAATGTACTGTCATTCATACCTCCAGTTTTATTATTTGTTCTTGAGAATGTGAACTCTTACGGTTTTTTTCTGAATGCTTAAACCTTAACCGTAATTTTATAGCACAATTTCTAAAACTATTAATAATTAAAACCATAACACTCACAGAGTTTGAAAAACTAAAAAACAAACCAGCACTGCTTTACTCTCAGTTTGGAATTTTGCAAAACACACTTTTCAAAACTGTAGGTTTAATCCTCTGCACAGCAGCTTAATGCATCGCTGTAAACACAACTCATTGTTTTACACTCAATTTCCAAATGATCAACACACTCCTAGGAAAACTATTAGCATATTTGGCTTCTATTTAGACAGTTTCGACAACTGTCTGGCACTGTCACATGTTAAAACAGTTTTAGATAATTAGTTCATGTTGCAATCAGCCTAAGCACTCCACAGGTGAGCTGTCTGTGTGGAGTTCAATGGAGGGAGCAAGAAGAGTGAGAATTAGAGGAGGCAGTAGGTGAAGGAGACGGAAGAGGAGACCAGGTGCGTCACCATATATGGTAAGGTTAGTTTCCAGATCTGATTTTGTTTCCAGATCCCCCACTCTTCACTGCACTCAACCTCCCTCCGACCATAACACAGACTGGGGCCTAATCAATACAGCCAGTGAGTAGTTGGGGGCCACCGATCTGGAAGGGCCCTAAGCTTGGATCTCATCCCTGAATTAAGGATTCTGTGGAGTCTGGCAACAGTGTTGTTTTAGACCAGATAATCCACAGATCATACAGTGGATTCCCTCCCAGTTAGCGGGTTGTAGTCTCTATTCCCTTCTACTTGCCTTCCAGGATAATTAAACCAGCAAAATTCCGCTGCTTGTTCAGCCCCTCAGCAGGTGCAGCAATGAGCTAGATTTTTAGTAAATATCTGCTTTCCTGCCAATTATGTCCAGCATTCTGACATCGTGCCTCTAAATATCGCAGACTGGGTTTAACCCTTTAAAGTCAAGTGTATCATATTTGATACCTGAGTTTTTGAAACCTCTGCATATCAGTGTGATGTTTTTGTTCATGAAACCCTGACTTACATAATCAGACACATGTAGTAGTGTAGAGAAAACATATAAAAGATTATATAGAAATGTGTAATGTATCAAAACTCATACAAATAAATGATGCAAATTAACGTTTACAAAATGTATATTTTATTTCATTGGTCAGAAAGTTCAAAGTTTATTTATATAGCGGCAATTAACAACACATGTCATCTCAATGCACTTTACAGTTCAAAAGATCATATAGTCAAATTGATTTAAAGTTTTCTATCTATGAAAAACCAGTTGATTTCATCGACTCATTGACTCAAATGCAATCCCTCACACTAAGCATGCTTGTGGCGACAGTGGAGAGGAAAAACTCTCTTTTAACAGGAAGAAACCTCCAGCAGAACCAGGCTCAGTGTGAGCGGCCATCTGCTGAGGCCGACTGGGGTTCAAGGAGACAGAAGCAGAGATACAGAAAGCAACTGTAAAATGCGGCTCCGTGCCGGAAACACACAGCCAGGCAGACGAGCTCGGAGCCAGCTCCCATGTCAGAGGATGAAGAGCGCGCATCCAGCCAGTCACAGTCAGAGAAACAGGACTGCACTGGAAAACAGGCCGTATCTTAAACATCTATAAACACAGGTGTTGATGGCAGCAGCGCAGCTGATATTTCTCTCCAGGATGGTGTCACAGCCAAACAGGAACAGACGAGGCAAAGCTACTATATTAATAAAATAATAATTACTTTTCAGGAAAGGAATTTAATTTCACTATCAGACGAATATTGTAAACATCAACGCAGCTACGATACAATGATTAATATAGTCTTTTTATGTATTATTACGATTTTAAAAGTTTGACAAACAATAAACGACATAAGAGACACAGAGCAGTATTAAAAGCCATGTTTAATCAGCAAACTCAGACAGACTTGTCAAATGTTTTGAAGCATTTAAGTTTCAAGGGATTGTACAGCAGAAAACAGATACCCAAAAGGAAAAAATCAAACACTGTGCAGTTATCAATCAGAAACGTATATCCTTGTCAAAATGAGAAATGCTTAACTGATTGTTGGTAATGGTAAGGCTGAGGAAAACACTGACCATCTTCAGAACATTAGCTGAATAAATCAGTTATTTTTTTATTTCTCTGATCAGGAGGAATTCATCTTTAATCTTTGGACAACATGTATTATAAAAAAAATAGGTTTATCTTAAAAGTAAAAATAATCCGTGGTATACCTTTGAAAGAAATTAAGGTTAGTAGTATTCATGATAATATATATAAAAAAGTCCGTTCTAAATAGAAACTCTCGTGTACTACATTACTTGAACGCACCATGGAAGTGAAGCTCATGCCGTAAAGTGTAGCATAGAGGCGCAAGTGGCGTGGAAACATCTCGACGGGAAACTAGACTCGGTACCAGCGCTCCGTGCGGAGTTTTCCCTCTCTCTGCCTTCAGGGCTGACCTCTCCAATCCCCCCGGTGTTTATCTAGCTCTGGCGGCCTCAGCTGAAGAAGCAGAGAGGTAGCCGCCTGTCAGCGTCAGGTGGGCTCTCATTGTTGACGTGCTGTGTTTAATGACAGGTCTGTCATTAGCCTCATAGCAGCTACCAGCTTCAGCCAGCATACCTGCAGTTTTGATCCTGATGAATCGGCTGTTTGCTCCTGCAGCGTCATTCTGATGTTCACAAGCGATCATTTAACCCATTATCTGGCGCTTATTCTGTCTTCCAGCGTTAATCCGCGGCCTGGTGTTCTGTTGGACCTACCGACCAGAAGCGGGGTCTCCTGCAAGATGAGTGGAGATGAGCTGAACCCAGCAGCGGTGCCTCAGCAGGTGGAGGATCTACATGGAGATGGACGCTGGATGTCACAGGTCAGCTTCTGCATCACCTTCTATACACCAGGCAGTCATTGCCTCCAGGTTAGGAGGGACCCCCTCTCCTCCACTGTGTACCAAATACTTTCAATTGTGTGTTTTGTTACACTGTTCATGCAATTATGTGAAACTTAGAAATAAGTCATTCCATAAATCAGCAGGTAATCTGTCCTGGGATCCTGTAAAGCCTGAAAGCTTATTGTTTTCAGTGCAGCACTTAATCTATCCCCCCAGCAGGTGTTTGAGAGGTTAATCCTCTGAAGCCAGTACTACTTAGACGGCCTGCTTTGCTTCCAGGCCTGGATCAGCCGGACCAGCTGATCCAGGCTGAGATGAGCTGCTGGGATTTAGACTAGAACTGATTCTTTTTACCTTCTGCTCTGGTTGATGAAAGCAGAGCCTCAATGTGTCAGTCTAAGAAAAAAACTTAAGCTATGGAGCCTGGTGAAAATATTTCTTTTACTTATACTTGGATCATCTTCAAGCCACGTAAAGGAAGCAATTTATCAATTCCATGAATTGACCTAAAGTTGATTATATCAATTTTCTTAAAAGCCCAAGTTTTCTTTTGTATCAAGATCTTTCATAACATGAAGGACTAAATGTTTTTCTTTCATATCTTGAGTTAATAATCATAGTTTAACAATTTATTGTTCCAGCTTTACTGACTGAATATACAAAAGCATGTTTTTCTTACACATTATTAAAATGACTTATAAGATCCCACAAAACGATAGAATAAAACGATCTGATTTCCAATGAACAGAGATGTAGAACTACCATTAACAGAGAGGGTATGTCGCTCTGACATACTGGCCCAATCCCAAGCCGAACCCTAAGCACTAACCCACCGTCTGCGCGTTCCTGTTGAGGGTCCGCCACATTAAGGGCCGTCCCAAACCACATAGTGAGTAGGGCCAGTGGACCGTTTAGCGCTTAATTAGCGAGTCTGTATCATTGCAGACTCGCTGGAATTTGTCAACAGGTGTAAAGGTGAACTAATGGTGGAGGAAACACGTTCCTCCAAATGTAAGTTCCTCTGCTTTGCTGTAACTTGATCACACTGAGAAAATCACACTTTAGGAAAAAGAAAAAACATAATTAAATCCAAAATGGGATGTCCTCTTAGAAATAGTTTTAAGAAATAGGCAAATGTTTAATGTTGTGTTAATCTGCGCAACAGAGCTACAGCCACGCATGTGAGGCGTCACTGTGTTGCCAGTAGCAACGACTGCTTTCCTTTTCCGTTGGAGGGACACAGCTCGTTTATAACCCCCTCCTTAAGCCAAGCCACCTTCCACAGCTGAGAAAGGGACTTGATAGTTAAGGGTTAGTGGTTATGGAGCAGTTTGGGATTCAGCCACTGTCAGGATTATTTGCCTCTTCATTTCAATGAAGTAGACGCTAACTGTGATGTAGCTCTCTGCTTTTATAGTGAAATCCATCATTGATGGGAGAGACTCTGTGCTCTTAGCAGAGCTTTTAAACAGACAGGTCTGATTCCTCTCAGAGGAAAGTTAGAATGTAAGCTCCATTAACTATTAACTCATAAAGAGTTTTGATGCTGAGGCTGTCAATAGTCACTGCTGCCACCCTGTGGTTTATTGGGGATCTGCTTGCTCCACCAAATATCCCAATCTGACAATGTTAGAGAATGTTTTTAAAAAAACTCCTGTATCCAGATCATGATTTGGATCATCACCAAAATGTAACATCTGAGGGACACCTCAATAGAGATTTTATTAAAATCCATCCAAAACATTACAAGAGATCCTTTAGACAGACTCTCCTAAAAACATAACCTGCTCAGCGGAGGTAAGTATTGGATCAGAAGTGAAGACATGTGGATCATTGCCACCCTGGCCTGAATACAAAGCCGCCTCTATTGCATAAAGCCACTGTGGCAGTGAACGTATTATGAACCATTTCAGACTCTCACCATGACTCTGCAGCTTTCATAAAAGTGTGTTCTGTCATTTCTGACCAACGGGAGCGACGGCGTCACACGCTAGTCCACCTGCTAGAAGAAGCATTTGAATGCAAACCAGACCTGAAGAAGACATTAAATCTTCGTTTAGTCCAGAGCACACAATGGGGAATCTTCTGGTGTGAAACCACCCTGAAAATGCATGCCGCACCTCTAAGATTTCCTCCAAAACGAGGCCTCTGAACCACCTGTCGCTTTCTTTTTCACCTCACCTCAGGCATTTTCAGCTTTCTTCTTGGTGAATGAAATCTTTTAACAAAATGTAAAAAAACTCAACAGGCATGAATCCTTTTTCAGAGTATTATCGCCATGTCATTATTAGGCGAAGTGTCACATCTGTGCCTATAATAAAAACCTCTCCTGTGTGTCGGGTCTTTGGTTTTTCAGCATGTCAGGTTTGTGCAGGAGTGCAAAGATGGAGAACCAGAGGTTCTTTTTGTTGGCGACTCCATGGTGCAGCTAATGCAGCAGTATGAGGTGAGCCAAACCATTTCTATTGGATGCTTTTGTTCCCATATAGATAGATAGATAGATAGATAGATAGATAGATAGATAGATAGATAGATAGATAGATAGATAGATAGATAGATAGATAGATAGACTTTATTCCGGACTCATGGTCCAATAAATACATACAGAAAAATAAAATAAAAATAGTTAATGATAAAAACACAATACAAGTACCATTATCGATTAAATAGGATCTTTAAGAAGACAGGAATACCAGTGTCTCCACAGCTTAGACTGATATCGGATTGCACTACGTGTGGTATCAGTGAGTGACAAAATAATATCGTTTTCAGATGCATTTAACCTACAAATAAACTTATACATTAACTTTCGTAGAACAGCTTGTAGGGTATTAACTCTTGCTGTGACTTTGCAGGTTGACTTTTCTATAGGTAGTCCACAGGTGAGCAGTGTACAGAGAGGTACAATATGCATTAAACAGTTCCACTTTGACTTTATCAGTACATGAACCGAATTTACGTGCAAGGGTATTAGCTTGAGCATACAACAATCTACATTGTCTGCAAATATCATCATCGTCTGACAGATTTTCTGTGATGATGTGCCCAAGATACTTGGTTTTATTTGTTACGCCCAGCACAGTATTTGACAGCAAAAAATCTGGAAACTCAGTAGATTTATCTTCCTTACTCCTACAGATCATGATCACACTTTTAGATGGATTGTACCTTATGTCGTGTTCCAGACCATACTCAGAGCAGATGTTTAGTAGTTGCTGTAACCCAGCAGTACTAGGGCTAAATGTTACTAAATCATCTGCATACATCAGGTGATTAAGTACCGAGTCACCAGCCACACAACCAGTGTGACAAGCTCTCAACTTGTGTGACAGTTCATCCAGATACAAGTTAAAGAGAACTGGGGACAAAATCCCGCCCTGCCTCACCCCATTACTAACTTTGAATGGAGCAGAGACACATTCCCCCCATTTAATCTGCAGTGTTTGCTGAGTATACCAGTACTTCAAAATACGAACAATATACTCTGGTACTCCTTTTTGTGTCAGTTTTGTGAATAGTTTTCTGTGGTTTACCCTATCAAATGCTTTTGATGCATCCAGGAAACACATAAACACTGAAGAGTTCTGCTTATTATATTTATAAGTAATCTCTTTTAGAGCATATATACACATATCTGTGCCCAGCCTAGCCTTAAAACCAAACTGGTTATCTGTAGACTTGATAACCTCTAAAATCCTGTCCAGCAGGATTGATTCAATAATTTTTGAAACTATGCTGGCCAGCGCTATCGGACGGTAATTATCATAATTGCCAATGTTTCCAGTTTTATCTTTAATGACGGGTACTAATTAGGACACTTAAAATAGAGTCAGGTAAAAGACCATGAATAAAAAACGATGTGAAACAAATGGAAAGTAGAGGAGCTAGCCTTGCATTTGCATACTTTAAATGTTCAGCTGAGACTCCATCCAGCCCAGTGGCTTTATTGTTAGATAATTTGGAAATAGCTTTATGAACCTCATAAGGCAGGATTTCATCTATATGGTCAACATTATTTGCAGTGCATGGTTCACTATGGATGCAATTAAATAATCTGCTGTAATGTTGGCGCCACAGCTCCACAATGTTAGCAGTGCCTGATATGCCATCAACCGAACATGGGAGGGATGTTTTGTAGGATGTCATACCTCTAACTTCTTTCCAGAAGCCTTGGGTATTGTTACAGAAGAGTTTTCTGGCCATTGAGTCAGACCTCATTGCTCTTTCATTTTTACCAATATAACGCACAGCATACTTATATTGGGCATTGGTATACTTTTTATGTTCAAAGACAGGCCCTGATCTTGGTCTACCTGCCTCAATCCATTCCTTAGAAGCCTCTCTAGCTCTATTAAAAAATTCAACCACATGGGTATTCCAACCTGGCCTGATCTTATTTTTCTTTTTTATTTGTTTATGAAAGTGTTTAGTTGATGCAATCAAAACATTAACTATTTCATTATACACAGAACGTACAACTATACAACTTTATTCTAGTAATATTGTTCAAATGTTATTTTTCCTCTGGGAAAAAAAAGACAAACTGATAGAAAAAGCAGAAGAAGAGTTCACCAAGGTGAAGAAGAGGTTTGACTGCAATAACTTATCCTTAAATGAAAGAAAAACAGATTAACCGGTAAATGGCCTGTTCTTATATAGAGCTTTTTCAAGTCAGTAGACTTGACCAAAGCGCTTTTCGCTGCATTCAGTCATTCACCCATTCACTCACACACTGATGGTGGCAGGCTACACTGCAGCCACAGCTGCTCTGGGGCTCACTGACAGAAGCGATTGAATTAACCAAAAATATTTTTGGTAACTAGCTCTGTAACAATATCAAATTACACATAAATGGAGTAGAAGTTAAAAGAGTTCATAATGCCAAATTTTTAGGCATCATTTTGGAAAACAAATTTAGTTGAGAGCTGCACATGAATTATTTCTGAGATAAAATCATAAGGAATATTGTTTAAGATAAATGGGATGATAAATGTAAAAGGTTTGAATTTTATATAACTCTTCTTATATTTATCATTTTTCACAGGAATGTGGGGAAATGTAAATAAAACAGATATCAACATACTGTAGTTAAAGTACAAAAAAGGGTTAAGGCTAAAATGGAACTCTGAACCAATTGACCTTCTCTAAAAAGTAACACTTAAAATAAAAAATACAGCATTTAATATTTTTTCTTCTCAATTTCTTCTTCAAATTCAAAGTCCAGTGAGTTTCCGTGACCCAGGAATTTATGGAATTAATTGATTGATGACTTGGAGTCATGAGTTAAAAATTTAATCCACTTCCTCATTTGAAAAAAGGCTTTTAGATGAACTTTATTTTGTTTTATTGATCTCAAATAGTTTTTTTCAAAGTTTGTTTTGACATAATTTTTACAGATTTTAATTTTTCTATTAGCTTTTTCAAATTTTAGTTTTTAAAAAAATCTCTTTTAAATTGGGTTTTCTGACTTGCTGTCTTTTTAATTTGCTTTTACAGATCAGATTCTCTTCACTTCAAGCCCAATAGATACATTTGCTCTTGACCAATAGAAATGTTTCCATCATCCATGCAGACCAATAGAAATGTTTCCATAATCCATGCAGACCAATAGAAATCCTGTTTACTCCAGAGAAAAGCTCTGCCTCCCATGATGAGAATGTGATCCGGGAAACACAGTTTAAAATAATTTGATCTGAAAACGAGAATTTGGTAAAAACAAAGATGAACAAATAAAAAAAGTTGACTGTAACATTTAAAAAAAACAAAGCAGAAAACAAAGTTTCTATCAAAATGTTTGTTTTGGTTTCACAAACTTTTTCTTTTCTTGGATTATTTTTTTTTTCTTTTCCAGAATGTGTTTTTTGCGCAATGTTAATGGAAGAAAATTCACTCTATATGAAAGAGCCTTAAAATGTTGAATCATTAACAAGTTCACGGTTATTTTTAGATGTATATACGTATTATATAATCTGTGTTAATCTGTGTGATTGTGTGTTACATGTTTAATTAGTGCTCATATGTACGTCTGCAGAGAGTCACATTTTTCGTTTGTTAGTTCGTATAAACCTACCAGATCAGGAAAACCACATTCAGTTGCATGATCATCATTTGGAATCAGATTTCACCATTTCTTTTTCGTTAAGATTGGATGTTATTCTCCTGTTTTTCCAGGACGTTAATTTAAAACTGAGATTTCTTAATTTTTCAGATCTGGGGGGAGATGTTCTCTCCTCTGCATGCGCTGAACTTTGGCCTCGCTGGGGACACCACCTGTAACGTTCTTTGGAGGCTGCAGAACGGAGAGCTGGAGAACATCTGGCCAAAGGTGGGAAAGCAAGAGGCTCATTAAAACCACCTGTTGCCTGCTGGAAGGCTCCCAGTGTAAAGCGGTGAACTGGCTCTTTGTGTTCTTGTTAAGGTGGTGGTTCTGTGGGTAGGAACCAACAACCATCAGCACACAGCAGAGCAGGTTGCAGAGGGAATTGTTGCCATTGCTCAGCTGCTCACTAACCGCCTTCCCAAAGCAAAGATTGTTGTACTGGTGAGTTTACTGGTTTGATGTCACCATATTGGTTTATAACCTGAAACTCTCTGCTGCTTTAGTTTTGCTTTTCTTTTTCAAATGAGGAGTAACTTTATGGAGCCTGATTTTCACAGGTTTATTGGGAAATAATTCCTGGGAAATTACTATTATTATTGTTTCATGAAAAGAGTTATTGAGAATCAACTACAGAACTACAGTCTATAGTAAGGTTGCAAAAACCACTGGTGGAAAAAGTACTCAGAAACGGTACTTAAGTAAAAGTACAAATAAATCCTCCAGTAAAAGTGAAACGTATCACACTGACATTTACACTTGAGTAAAAGTAACAAAGTATTTGTTTAAAAAAATGCTTGGAGTAAAAAGAGTTTTTTTTAAGGGACTGCAATTTTTTATAACGATAATTATGTGTACGTACTATATTTATATTTTCAGTAATACATCAATCCTATTTATTGAACAATGCTGTGGATAATGCATGCTTTATTTTGACCTTCTGTCAAAGGTCACACTTGGAATTTATAATTTGGGATAATCTGATAAGTGAAATATTAAGTTTAAGAAAGACGACAGATTAAACCTTTATAAGTGTTTAATTCTGCAGTTAGGACATTGATACAAGATCAAACTAACTGACTAACAGGCTCTGATCTTTTTTAGTGTAGTTTTTAACTCCAGTATCATCATAAACTCTACAGTTTAACAATACCCTAAAAGCAGCTTTGTAATGCAAAACACCAGAATCAAATAATTTGATCATTAATAGAACTCTGAGGATTTCTTGCTTAATTCATAAATGTAAAAGCTGCAGGACGGAGTTCCTCTTCTCTGGATCCAGGTTCCTTCTTTTAGGTTGCAGATGCAGTGAGAGCAACGTATTGTTGGAGATGAGGGATGTGCTTTCTCTGAAAAAGAATTTAGTCAGAGTTCATAAAAAATTGGACAAGAGTATACAGAATCAAATTAAGCATTCACACGTCACCTTTGCAGTTGCTAAGTGGACCAATCCTCATCTAGCATTTGATTACTTTCAAACTCTCAACCAGAACTAAAAAGAATAAACGTAAAAAAACAATGTAACGCGTAATGAAGAGCCTTAGAATTTGTAGTGGAGTTGAAAGTACAAGTAGTTGATGTCAATTTTAGTGGAGTAAATGTAGAACTATTAATGATTAAATCGACTTAAGTAAGGTGTATGTATGTGTATATATATATATATATATATATATATATATATATATATATATATATATATATATATATATATATAAAAAATGTACTTAAATACAGTAACAAAGTACTTGTAGTTCCTTACATCCCACCACTGACAAAAACGGGTAATAAAAACTAATTAATAATGTTGGTTATTTAAGATCTGTGATCCTGGGTCCAGGCCAATTGGTACCGGGACAGAAAGAGGAAATAACTCCAGTTATTTGCAACTGATTCATATTCCAAATTGTGTTTTATTTTGAAAAATGACCAGGTTTTCTGCATTGCATCCGTCTGTGACTGTTAACGTATGTCAGCCACAACGCCGCTGGTCACCTGCTGCTTTAAACCCCAAACTAGCAAAACTGCTTTACACATAGATAAGGTTTTCTGTCCAATTTGACTCAAATCAATGTGTTTAGGGGATCTTTAGATAAATAAATACTTAATTATTAACTTGATAGTAAAATCTATATTATTAACAAAGTGACATTTTTGCAGATTAAGGTGATGCCATCTTCTTCATGTTCTGGATTGTTTACTAAAAATGAGTATTTAGGAAGGAAGGAAGAGAAGGAATCTGGACTAATCTGAACCAAAACATTGTTTTTTTTCCTGCTTTTTCAGACCAGTCAATCCATTAAAAGATGGCTTGGAATCCATTTTGTTTTGTACCCAGATTAGTAGGAAGTGTGTTTGATATTTAGATGAAATAAAAACGCTACAAAAGTTAGTCCTTTGTTTCCTGTGAGTGGATGGATGTCCTGAAGCCTGCAGTCAATGAGGAGGGCATACAAGCTTCATCCTGCAGCCTAAAAATAGGGTTAATTAATCAGAACCTGTGATTTATTTATTTGAATGAAACTCGTGATGCTAATTAATGTAGAGATTTGAATAAACGAATGGGACGGTTTCTGTCTCTTTGTGCCAACGAGGGTTTGTTACCTCGAGGGGAGCGGCCCAACCCGCTGAGGGAGAAGAACGCCGCCGTCAACAGGCTCCTGAGCTCCAGGCTCCCACGGCTGGGCCAGGTTCTGTTCCTGGACGTGAGCAAAGAGTTTGTCCACTCTGATGGAACCATCAGCTCACAGGACATGTTTGACTACCTCCACCTGACGCTGGCAGGTTACCGCACCCTGGCTAAGCCTCTCAGCGACCTGCTGCTCCAGATCCTGGAGGAGACGCCTGAGGAGAGAAGGGCATCGCTGGTTTAGGGGCCAAAGGACAGGTGGGGCTGGAAATCCGAGCAGTCAAACAAAGTTTGATGTTGAACCGTCATTCACTAATCGATACACATATTTTAATTGATCAGAGTTTGACCTTTGGCCGTGTTTGGATGTCGGTAACCATGAGCAACGCTGAAGTAAAGTCTCTGCCATCATCTGGAGCCTGCAGACCTTCTTTCAGTTTAAACACTTTAGTTTGTTTCCAAGTGTCTAAAGACAACCACAGAGTATCAGAGCATTACCAAAACTATTTTAATTACAAGAATAAAATCATAATGTTACCAGAATAATAATAAAAGCCTCTGCCTGAGCTCAGATTACAGAAAATTAGAATATCTCTTTAATGTCATAGTTCTACCAATTTACTGTCTTATCACAACTTCATTCATGAACGTCTTCTAGAAAACTTCACATCCAGTTGCCTAAGCTGAACTTTTCAAGCTTAATTCTCACTGACTGACTTTATTTCTGTGATGTTACTGATTTATTTTCACAACATTCAGACTTTATTATCCTGATTTGAGAGGGGCGTGAAGGAAGCCATCTATGTTAAGAGAGAAAAACCAACTTTAAACAGAGGTGGTGGACTCAGATTCCAGCTTCCAAAAACATACAATTCAATCATAGACATGATCCCTTCCAGATATCACCAAACCCCCCACCCCATCACAGAGGAACGAGGGACCTACCCGCCCCAGCCGGTGAACAATACCTCCTTAACGACCAACCCTTAACAATCATAGACAGGTTTCAGGTATTACAGGAGACAATCCCCCCCCTTAATGGCAATCCCCCCTTTAACGACCGACCCCTAGAATCGTAGACAGGTTCAGATATTACAGGCTAACGATGGAACTAACGACCCATTCATCGGTTACCATTGCATGTTTCCAAGCGATACAAGGCGTTGTCTACTGTATATAAGACTCAAACTCACTGTGGATCCAGACATTTGAATTGAGAAAGCTTCCTGGAGAGGTGGTGAAACGTCTTCAAATCTTGAAAACCAAGTCCAGTGGATATTTTTTGAATTTTTACGGAAGACTTTATTGTCGTAATAATACCAATTTATTTAATGATGATATATTATTTTCTTAAATGTGTTAATACAATTCTTGTAATGTTCTAACTTTATTCTGGTAAAGGTCTGACCTTATAATGTTCCTTTTATTCAACATTCTGACTTTATTGTTGTAATGATGTTTTATTTTCATAACATTCCCATTAATGTTCTTTATTCTGGTAAAGTTCAGACTTTATCGTCGTAATGTTATGGTTTTATTCTCATAGACCAAACATGATCCCTTTATTCTGATAAAGTTATAACCTCATTTTACGCCTTTATTCTCTTGCCTCTGAACCTAGTTTTGTAATCTCAGGATTTTCCTCCTACACTTATCATTATAACCTTAGTGACATGACATTCCAAAGATTTTCTCTTACATTTTAACAACTTAATATTCCAACTTGGGCTGCAACTAATAATAATTTAGCAAATCGGTTAATCTATCAATTATTTTTGATCCATCGATTAATATTCAGATGTCCAAATGTTCCTTAAATAAGACATTTTAGGAAATTAAACCAGGTGAAACTAAAACATTTCCACTTGAGGAGTTCTAGATAGAGTAGATTGACAGAAGAAAATATTATTTTATTTTAAATGCAAATTCTCGCCATATTATGACTTTTTTTTCTCCCCTTAATCTAAACCATGTAGACTGATCATTACGACTTGTTCGTAGTTATTAAAGAAAAGTATCTTAGTATGGCCCCTTTTATACTTGTGTTAAAAAAAAAAAAACAGATCATAATTTAGCCTAAAACATAATTTAACCATAAACCTGCTCACCTACTGCTGGCTGCTATTTCTCCAGTTTTACATCCTTTTTTCTCTGAACTGCTTTGCCGTTAGAAGCAAACATGAACTCATCATGATCCTTCCTGTCATGTTAAACATTGCTTAAGCTGTTAGCTTTTCTTTTCAGGGCGAATTGATTGCATAACCTCCGTAATTTCTAAAACAAATCTGCATGTCGAGTAAAATTTTCCTGATCACTGTCAATCTGCAGAGTAACACCTGCTACCTCTAATGTTTGGGCAGATTATCTTTACCAAGTTGCAGAGAAACATTTTTTGGTCTTCTAGAATCTTATGAAACATTTATTGTTGGAAATCTGACCGCTCTGTTGGTGATTCATTTTAATTGGTTAGCTTTGTCTCATTCCAACATTCCCAGTACATTTATTTGGTGATAAACTGGATTTACTGGGAATAGGGACATTGGTGTTGGCATCCTTTGGTTCAAGTGGGCTGAATCTTTTGGTGCTTCTTGGGCTGCTGTTAGACATCTAAAATCATGTCTTTTCATTCTTGATCAGAGGAATTCTGTATAAGATGGCAAAAACTTGGCTTGGCGATGTAACCAACCGACACAGATTTGGGAAAGGAAAAACTAGACTAACATTGTTTTATTTCTTCTCAAAGTCTCCGATTTTAATCCTGTTTGAAATGTAGGAACTAAGGCTGAGTGAAATAATATGGAGTGAAATTTATTCCACTAATGTGGCAAAAAAACAAACAAACATGTTTTGTAAATGGAAATTTGAAAAAAATGCAATCTAGAAAAAACTCAAACAAAAAACTATGTTTTTTGTTTTGCAAAATTTTCTTTTGATTTTATTTTATTAAGTTTTTCATTTATATTCTTTATTTTCAAATTTATTTTGAATATTTTTTAATTTTCGGGTTCAGTTTTAAAACTTTGTTTTATCTGGATGGATGTTTGGGCTGCAAATTTCTATTAATCTGCCGCTTAGATAATATGTTGAGATCTAAAACATATAATTTTGATCTCGGCAACATGGTTTTATTAAAAACAAATCTGGTTTTGGCAGAAGCACTGAAATGACTTTGTCTTAATTTCTTTACTGTCTTAGAGTTTTTATGTCGCCAGATGCATAAAAGACACAGAAATCCTTAATGCATCATAACTTAATCATCAGTTGATACTAACTGCAGACGCATACAGAGGGATCCTGGGATAGTTTTCAGGCTGAGTGGGTTGGAGTAAAACAAATGCTGCAAGTTTATCTCTTTATTTTATCATTTGAAACAAAAAAAAGACAATTACAGCACACTGGTGTGTTTGGAAACTCCCTAATAGAACAGGAGAAGGCTACATTTGGACTTTTAAGAGAAGGTCCCAAAGCTTCCCTCCTGGTCAAACTGGATGTTAAATCAGCTGGATGTTAAAGGAGCTGGACATTCGGCACACGCCCCCCCCCCCCCCCCCCCCCCCCCCCCCCCCCCCCGCCATACTAACTACATAGGTTAGCTCTTCAATCATCCGTCTGTCTTCCAAAAGCCTCCCTTCCATCCATCCATCCAGCAGGACTGTTTATGCTCTAAACTGAAGTTCAATCACACTGTTTAAATTATTAACTCCTTTGTAAAATTATACAGGCAGAGGCTGAAATGACGAATCCAACAATGTCATGTTTTAAAATAAAATAAAGAAAAAATGACTATTTATTTAAAATAGGATAGAATTAGTGTTTCTTGTTGTAAAAAAAAAAAATATTTCAGAGCAAAAGCAAATTCAAATCAGACAAATGTCTCATTTCAACATATTACTTCTCACTGTCTGTGGACTAAGCAGCTGCTTATTCAGGCCATCTACTCCTGGACATCACGCAGTCAGCTGGTTTAGAGAAATGTGTCTCAACTTCCCAAATTAGTCTTTTAAAGAAGGAAAGACTGCAGAGCTCTTCTTTCAGTCAGCTGGCTAGCACTGAGCAGCAATGGGTACCTGTGGCACGCTACCTGAGCGATCTCAGAATGCTCCATACAGCGATATACAGAGCATTCCGCTTTAATAATGGAAACCGGCCCATGTCCAGTGGCACCCATCAATCCTTAAATCATCTTCCATTAATGTCTACAAATATTTGTCCATTTAATTCCCCCCGGAAAAAAAAAATGTCCTTGAAGATTCTTTTATTTGATGCCGACAGTTATAACTCCTGATCATTTAGTTCCTGCTTTTAGGTGAAATATCTATCAATGTAGGTCAGACCGTGTTAGATGGGATCACTAAACACCAGAAGAAATAAATATGGGGTAAAATAACGGTCAATAAGAGCGTATGTGAAGATGTTTGGATTTGAAAGAAAGTTAATAATGTTCTTACATTTAGGATTTGTGTTTGTTCCGCGTTAACTCATAGGTACGTGTGACATTAGAGCGTCATCTATGAGAATACAGGTTTAAAAGTTATGAGTACAAATAAGAAAGGTACTTCTCAACAATATGACTACAGCTTGCAAATATCAGAGAACGACTTATAAATGTAACAATACAGATATAAGTATTATTTCCATGTTTACGTGTACGTATCGCACATTTACAAAGCTACATCCCCTGAAGAAGCTGCTACACTCCCCACCATTTGGTGGCAGTAATGCACCTGATACCTGTTTGCTAATTGCCTTTGAAGAAGATGAAAATCTGTTGAGCATTACACTAGGCAACATCCTAGCAAAGACATAACGTAACATTCAATTGATGGTGTTTCCGTCTTTCTCTTTTAATGGCAGTTGTGGAACAACCTTCAGGTCCATTACCGCCACCATCTTGTAAGGAGGGTCATTGCTTTATCAGGAGTTGTAGATTCGTACTGAGAAATTTGTGAATCCTACTTGCATTTATGCAAAGTTGTTGTTTCTAAACTTGTTTTCTCACATGTATAAGTTGAAAACGACAAATACGAATCTTGGATTTAATTGCATAAACTGTCCGACATTTTCAAATTCAGATACCTACTCACATGCTGATGTTGGCGGGTATCTTACCCCATACAATCGCTTGTCATGTAAAAACCATAGATCAGTAATCTGTGAGTTTAAACTGCGGCTCCTGCCGCACAGTTATCTGCCATTACTGCTGCTGTCTTATGCACTGCTCCTGAGTGTGTTTTGATGTAAACTGTCTGTGTACGTCTGTGCCTTAAGTGTGTTCAGTGAATGTGTTGCTACATCGTGTTTCTAGAAATGATCCTTGTGTGGAGGGCGTGTGAAACATGAGTCAAAAGGATCACGGCTGTATGATAGGAGAAGTTTGCACTGTTATGGCTCGCTGCAATAAAGAGGAATCCACCAACGTCTTGTATGACTGAGTTATTTGATTTAACTTTGAATAAATTACAGTCAACAGAACCAACTGTTTTGTCAGAGGAGCTAATTGGCAGAGACACTAATAGGGCCTCTGCTTGAGAGTTCCTCATTACTGGATTAATTTCCTTTCACCAAGTTTATCTGTCTTCTGCCGTAATGGTTCTTCTTCACTCTGTGGCGGCGTCTGTTCGTCTTTAACTGGCCCCATTAAACAGTTAGAGACTCTGGACTGATCTGGATGGCTGGCCAGTTTAAAACAGAGATGATGAAGCTCTTTTTTTCCCCCCATGTTCCACGCTTCTCCCTCATTAAGTGTGACCTGAAGCTTCCCCAGCAG